TTCCATCTGGTTGTCTCTGAGTTATATCCTTTTATTATAAAGCAGTAATCTAGTACTTACTATCTTCCTGAGTTCTGTGAGCTGTTTCAGCGTATTATCAAATCTGAAGAGGGGGTCATGAGAACCCCCAGTACATCAGAAGCACAGGTAACAATCTGGACTGCAACTGATATCAGAAGTAGGGATTGTTTTGTGGGACTTGAGCCCTTAACCTGTGGGATCTGATGCTAACTCCAGGTGGTGTGTGTCAGATTAAACTGAATTATATGACACCCAGTCAGTGTCTACTGGAAAACTGAATTGTTGTGAGGAAAACCCCCACACATCTAGTGTCAGAAACTAATGATAGAACGTTGAGAGAAGAGTTCCTTTCACTTCCCCAACTAGATTTTTAACTCAAAGCATCTTTTAACTCCAGCATTCAGAATGACTTCTGGCCTAGAATAGTTAAGTTACTCAATAAAATGTTTGCTGAATAAATACATTTTCTCACATACATGATACTGTAATTGGTAGCCAGGTTCCACAAACATTTATTTAACAGGTAAAATGGTTGAAACAAGTAACATTTCAGCACCTTAAAGGTAAAACAGTGGTCCTTACTTGTATATCTCATATTCATTAATATATATTTGGCTAGTTAACAAGAGAACTTTCAATAAGTCTGTTTAAATAGCTTTTGTAACTAAGTTAGAAAATAAGACATAAATTTATGCGTGAAAATGTGTTCTTGGCTACTCAAATTCTAATCTGTAAGTCAAAAGCTATTGTCACCACAAATTACTTGACCTCAAATACTATTATCAAGGCATTGTACCTACATTTACAGTAAAAAATAAAATACAAAACCTAATTCCTAATTCTGGCATTCAGACCTCTACAACTAACTCCCAACCTATCTTACATATGCTATTCCTCTTCATGCATGCTTATACTCCAGCCAAATGAACTTTTCCCCTGTTCTCCAGGATCTACACTTACCTTCATGTCTTGGATTTTACTATCTGCTTTATTAGAAAATTCACCCAACCAATTTCACAAACTCAAATCAAACTTACCCTTTGTATATCAATCAAATGTCACTTCCTAATCCTTTCACACTTCTAGAGGTAATCTTTCCATTCTCTCAACTCCTATATCACTTTATCTAGACTTCTTTGACACCATTTATAACTTTATTTCAAGAGTATGTCCCTCCCTCTATTTAACAATAAGGACAGGTTCTAAATATAATTCAACATTTTCCATGAAATCCACAAAATTAATAAGCACTACAAAATAAAAGTTTCATGGTCAATAAAGTTTGGAAAATGAGCTCAGAATTTTTAACATACTAACATATATTGTAAATCTCTAACAACAAAAAAAAAAGGTATGCCCATTTCCTAAACCTATTTGGCCTCTGAACCATTTTGGGGTTTTTACAATGCACTACATAGGATTAATATTTCTATGCAACCACACTAATCTTGGCACCTTATCTTGAACTTAATAGTTACTCAGCAAATATTTGTTGAATGAATGGCTAATTGTCCCTATCTAACAAAGAACTCTCCCATTAAGGTAACTTTCCCAAAGAGAAGACTCCAGAATGAGAGAAAAAAAAGCAAGTGAGAAGCACAATGTCCTCCATGGTGCTGTAAGAAAAGAGAAGAATATTTGCAACAACAGAACAAGAATTGACTACTCCAGCCACTTTTTACATCTGGAGAAATAATTAATCCAAACCACCCAGGAATTCCTGTTTAAAATGTCCTTCCTGAGGTGAACATTTGGAAACAATGCACATAGATCCTTTTTAGATAGATTTGTCAAGAAGGGCTAAAACTAATCAAGTATTCTGGTCAATTTCCAGGATATTCACTATTAAAATAACTGAATAAGCTATTACTAATAATTTCTGTCACCTGAGGAAACATCCTACAGTTGATTTTGTTGTATGAAGATGTTTATGTTAAAAAAAAGGCCATCTCATGGGACCAATTATAAGATTTTAAAAGTAGAGTTAACACATGAAATTTCATGAATTCAAAGCATAATTTTGTATTGATTTGACCTCTTTCAAAGTGGAAACATGAAAGCAAAATTCAACTTAAAAATGCATTAAAATAAGGATGTATAAAAACAAAATATCCTAGACTCCGTCCTGACCTTTGCTTCCCACAGTTCCCAGCTGTGACTAAGAAAAAGAAGAGAAAAACATACTCCCAGACTTGTCCTACAACCTAGATCCTATCGAAGTAGCAACAGGAAACAGCAACAATGACTAAGGTTTGTTTTTTTGTGTTTTTTTTTTTCTCTCCCCTCCCTCTAAAACAATGAGACTAACTTTTCACTTAAAGATGAAAATTTATTCAAGAGTAGAGCCCATTGTAAGGCTGAAAAAATATATATATTTCTTAATCATACTATTAACATTTAATTGTAACGGTTAATGTAATAATGCTCTTCATAGTGATGAAACAACAAGCTACATATGGTCAGGAAAAAGAAAGTCATATGAGTTAAGATTCATAAGCACTATGAACCCTCTGGCCACAGTCGTCTCTCTCTATCATCACTATCTGCAGTGATTTTCAACCTTTTTTTTTTTTTTAATCTCATGACACATACAAACTAATTATGAAAATTCTGTGGCACACCAAAAAAATGTTATATTGCTTACTGATCTGACAAAAAAAAAAAAAAAATAGGTATAATGTTGATCTGTTCACACCAAATGGCTATTGTTGTATTGGCTGCTGTCATTTTTTTATTTAACAATCTAAGGAAAAAGAGGTCAGTGTCCCTGACTAAACAGGTATTGCATGTTTTAAAAATTCTAGTGGCACACCTGTTGAAAAAACACTGCTCTATCTGTGAGTATTACCAGCTATCACATAACTGGAGTCACTGCGTTAAGTTAAACCCTAATTAGATTTAAATACTTTACTAAATAGTGAGACTCTAGAAAGAAAAATATATATTTCTCTACCACTTTCCTGCACCCCTCCCCCATGGGGGCAGAAATCAAATACATTTTCAATTAAGTTATATGGATGTGGTCAAACATTTAAAGAAAAATAGACATAACATGGTCTGAAATACAACTGAGAATGTCAAGCAGTATTCACTAACTCAAAGATTAATGCCTTCCGAACTGTATGACAAAGTAAGTTTTCTAGTAAAACCTAGCTAGTCAAGTACTTCATTAAGTAAATTAAAGATCTCAACTTCATAAATTGTTTCTACCTTTATAAGATGTAAAAAATAAAACGAGAAACTACAGAACTACTTTAGTATCTTTCCCATCAACACACAGTAAAAGTTTTTAGAAAAAACAATGTTTCCCTGATCCTGTGTCAATAAACAGATGGAATTAGAGAAGTAAATGCAGTGTATCTCCTAATACTTAAATCTGAGAATAGGAAATTAGTATTTCCAAATTCTTTCCTCTAATGATAAATCCTTCACTCACCAATTTCTATTTTATTACAGTTTATTATAACGATGGCATGTTATTCCTCTCAACAAGAGCCTTATCTATCCAAAAACTGACAGAAACCCGGAGCTATGGTAACAGTAACAAATGTGAATCGTTCCCAGTTGTTATAAAAACCTTGGCATTTACACTTGAAACAAAAATAAATAAATAAATCCCCTCCCCGCCAAACCCCACAAAACCCTGCTGAATCTTAAGCAGAAAAAGGATCCAATTTTCACTTATGGAGAAATGACTGTCAACCGCCGTCTTCTCAATTACTTTGTTACTCAATGTGAGACACAAGCACGCACTGAAAGGGTCTTTCCTTCCTTTTTGGTCATCTCGGTTATAATTTCCTTCACAAAAGGAGACCCTTTCCTGACACGTTTCATTGTTTTGTGGTCCCGTTAGAATTGTCCTAGTCTGTTATCTCAAACGTCACAGCTCCTCACCCTGGATTTCACTAAATCCCATTTCAAGTTGTGAAGGTGGAAACTCAAGGGGAACCCATCGGAACGCCAGTCTCGGGCAGGCAGGGAGGCGGTTTGGTGACACACACCGATTCCCTGCGACTCGCACACACATGTTCATTTTACTTTTGCCTCCATTCAATCTGAAGGGCTAAACAGGCCTGTTATCCAAAAATAAAATAAAATAAAATAAAATACTCAGGCCTTTTCCAAGGGAAGGGTAAACTGAGCGCCACTTCTGTTTACTAACAACGAGGGAGCCCCGGTCGTCCCGAGCTCAGGTGGCCCCCCGAGAAAATTACACGAGGATCCCAGCGACGAGGGGGCTCGCCCGACCTGGGCTCCCGACTCCTCTTTCCGCGCCTGAGCCGGCCCTTCGCGCCCCTCATCCCGAACACATCTCCCAACGCCCCCACCTCCCGGCTCCCTCCCTCCAGGCTTGGACTCGGGGTTCCCTCCCGGCCCACCTCCCCACCCCGACCCCAGCCACCCCTCCCCCATTGCACGCTCCGCCCGCGCGGACACCGGAGCCGCCACCCCTCCCCTGCGCTTGGGCACCTTTCTCCGAGGGCTGCTCCTCAGCCCGCCCACCCCGCCGCCCGCACCCCGGGCCTGCCACTCCCCGAAGAGCCGCGGGGACCCACCTCGAAGAGCTCGGCCGTCGTAGCCATCCCGGCCGGCTGAGAGGCTCGCCTCGCGCTGGACGCCGTCTCCGCTTCACATGCTGCGCCTCAGCGGCGCGGCGCACAGGTCCCCGCTCCGCTCGCCAGTTCCGGCTCCCGGACGCCGCGGGCTCCCCGACTCCTCACCGAGCCCAGGCGGGGCGGGAGAGCGGCCATGAAGCGAAGCCGTAGACGCCTGTCAGCTGCCTCCCGGCGCCGCCCGCGCCGCTCCCATTGTCACCGCCTCGACGCCGGAAGTGGAGCTGCGCGCGCCGGCTGGGCGGTCGGGAGGGGCTGATGAGCGACGCGAACAGCTGGCGAACCGCGGAGCGGCTCGAGGCTTGGCTAGTGAGGAGCCGTGATCCTTGCGGGCCACCATCCCGGAAGTGGAATTTAGAGGAAGCACGGACTAGGGTTGCTGGGGAATAATAAATTCCCGGGATTGTAGGTGCGGATGCACAGGACTTCTTGTGGCATGTGTTGGCCAGGACGGGCTCAGAGGTTTTGTCACTTCAGCTGAAGGAGCTAGCTTCTCCGCGGAGCCCGGCCAGTGTGCGGTGGGACGGAAGGTGGCTCACGGGAAGGAGCCTCGGGGCTTCCTTAAGAGGCCATCTGAGAAAGCCGGCCTGCGCTCTTCCTCCGGGGCGGCCTTAGGGGTGGACTGATGCTCTAGTCGCTCATCATGGCTCAGCGAGCACTGTGGCTCATAAGCCACGAACCGGGAACTGCACCGTGTGGCACCGTCAGATTCTCCAGGTAAATCAGGTCTGAATCCTCAGGGCTGGTCAGTGGAAGGAATGGATCCTGCCGCGTAGTTTTGTGGCGCGCTGTATCCCTGCCCCGCCACCCAGGGCGAGTTACCCCACCTCCATGTCGTCTGTTCAGTGATGTCTGGATACTGCCACCTCATAGTGTCGTGAGAATTAAATGAGTTGATGCCTGGCACGTTTAAGTATGTATTTTCGAAGACTAATTATGTGTTTGATAGTACTGTGTCTTAAAATTAACTCTTAGTATTGTTATGGAGACGATGAACGGAAGGACACGTATTGAGTACAACACATGTTTTTAAAAATCTTTCATTAATAAAAATGAGTCAATGACATTTTAAGTCATTCTCTGGAAAGGCTTTGCTGAGCAATAGCAGACTGTTATTGTCATCTTATGTTTAATTCCTAGAAAATTTCAGGTGGTTTGCTTTTAAGGTTCCTGATGGTTGAAGAAAATTGAAAAGGTACAAGAATTAAATTGTATTCTCGTTATCTTAGATGGTGTAAGCTGATCTGGTTTCCTTTTTAGAATTTGCCACATATATCAAAATAGCTCTGTACAACAACTCTTCCTAAAATGTGGGTGGCAATTGAGTAATTTGTTTCACCTTTTATTCTCAGTAGCTATTAACAGTTAAATCTTGCCGACAAATTCATTCTTCACTGAAGAAAGCTGTATAGTGAAGTAGTAGCTCTGAATTGAGACTAAAGCAGATAAAGATGAGTGTAATTTTATATGAAAAGTGGTTAGCAATGTGGACATGAAAAATTCCCGCTTTGCAACCTAAACAATTTTTGTTACTAAGGGCATCAGAGTTGGAGTTTACTGTTTTCCCACGGGATACCTGACTTACATTTGTTGTTGTACCTCAAGTGAGGAGGTTAATAATATTCTTTAGTATAGTTTATCCGCTTTATTAGTCTATCCAAAGTACTTCTCATTTTATTTACATATTCCCTTGAGTATCTTTATTTCTGCCATTCTCCCTGCCTCATAGGTAACTTATATCTTTGTTACTGATCTTACATTTGTGTCTGTGTGCATTTTTCAAATTACATAATTGTTCTATAGACTTCATTCCCTTTTCTTACAGGTGTCAGATTTCTCAGCATTATTTTAAAGAAACTTCCATGTTATTTTATATTTGTCCAGAGTAGCACTGTTCAATAGACTTTTCTGCAATGATGGACATGGGAAATGTTCTAAAGCTGTGCTGTCTAATATTGTAGCCACTAACTACATGCAGCTTGTGAAATGTGGGTGTTGTAACTGAGGAACTCAATTTTGTTTAAGTTTAAATAGTCACATGTGGCTAGTAGCTTTATATTGGACAGTGCAGATCTAGGTCATTGCTTCTGCTTGCTCTGTAGTACTCCATAGTTTACACCCTCCATACTTTACCTATCCTCTTCCCCAGTGATGTGTATCCCAGGTTGCCTCAAGTGCCATCAGGACAGTGCTGCAGTAATATCTTCAAAGATCCATGGGGCATATCTATGCTGATTTTGAATAAATATTGCCAAATGATTGGCTCTTCATACTACTTTCTCCAGTCTGCACTTTCACCAGCAGTGAGTGAGGGTTCCTATACCTCCTTTCTTTCCTAACACTCCAGTTTTTGCCAGTATAGTATTTTATTTTCATTTGATTTTCTCTGTGTAGCAAGAATTGTTAGCCCTTAGGGTTTTCTCTTGTGTGTCTTGCCTATAGATACCCTTTGTTCAGTTTTTCTTTGAGACATGATTGGTTGTTTTCTGTTAATGTGCAGGAGTTCATTGTATATTCTTTTTTTTTTTTTTTATCCTCACCCAAGGACGTTTTTATATATATATATATATATATATATATATATATATATATATATATAGTTCAGATAGAGTGGAAGGGGGAGAGAGAGAGAGAGAGAGAGAGAGAGAAACATCGATGTGAAAGGGACACATCGAGTGGTTGCCACCCACACGACCCAACCAGGGCCGGGGACAAACTGCAACCGAGGTACGTGCCCTTAGCCGGAACTGGTTCTCTCCAGACCGCAGGCCGACGCTCTAACCGCTGAGCCAAACCAGCCAGGGCCTGTGTATTCTTGATATTAGTTCTATGTTATTTTTGTTTTAGCTATTACAGATGGTTTCTCTTAATTGATCATTGCCAATTAACTTGATGGTGCCCTTGATTGAACAGAAATCAGTAAGTTTATTGCAAGCAAAATAGTGCTTTGGGAGATCTGTTGAAGTCCTTCCCTACCCTTGTTTCCCAGGGATGTCTTCCTACATTATCTTCTCATAACTTTATCATTTTATTTGTTATATTTAGATCTTTAATCTATCCATAGTCTATCTTTGAATATGGTGTTAATATTGCAATCCTATTTTGTTTTTCTCTATACTATGGGCCAGTTTATTCCAGACAATACATATTTTCTTCATTGATTTGTGGGGCTATTGATAGTTTATTATGTTTTCCATATAGTCATTGGTCTCTCAGTTTTATTACTTTATTTTTCTGTTTTTGTGTAAATACTATACTGTATTTATATCTGTGGCTTTGTAGCTTAACTCAATATCTCATAGAGGTAAGATTTTTTTCCCTACTTACAAAAATAAGCTCCTTGAAGAAGTCAAGCTTGTTTTCAGAATTTTTTCCCACTGTGCTCAGAATATTTCAGAAGAAAAATTCAGGTGAATTTTAGTGAGCGCTTCAACATCTTTATGGAAGCAGCAAGCTGGGTTCACATAATTCATCTGTCACTTATTAATTCTGTATTGTTGAATGAACTAGTTAAGATTTATTATTTTCATATTTCTGACTTCTTGGGCTGGTGGTAGGGCTAAACAGCCATAAACTAGCATATCACTACCCACACATATGCCAAAGGATAATGGCCATAATTTAAGATTTTAAAAGGCAGATGATCTTTCCTGTATCTAACTACTTTTTCCCCCACAAAAAACACAAACTTGGTTTAGATTCCATTTTAGATGTTTGCTGCTGAAACAGATATTAGTAATGGTATCAGGTTAAGTCTGGCTGAGGTTGGTATTGTACCTCATAGTTGTAGGGCCATTTAAGATATTTTAGAAAAGGCCTAAAATAAATCTGAAATGACAGGTTGAGTCATCCAACAAAAATATTTATTGAGCACACATTGAAGCATTGTAAAAGGTCCCAGGTTAACTTCTATGTTTACATTTAGCCATTAGATTCTTGCAGTTAAGAAGAATTTTAATTATCTTTTAGGTAACTAGAAGGTAAGGCACTGTATTAGAGTTTAGTCCAAAGTTCTCAAGTATTCTTACTCAAAGACACAGAGAAAGCAATGGCATTTACCCACAACTCCATTACTAAAGTGCTAGCTAGTTCTTTCCCTTTCTCAACGAAGAAAATGCAGCAGAATGTAAATGAATGTGGTTCAATAATATACTGATAACTTTGAATACATTCTTATTTTTCTCTTTAAACAATATTAGTAAACATCAATATTTTATTAGTAGAATTAGTGAAAAAAATTCTTTTGACCAGGTCTGTTCTTGGTTCTTGATGAGAATTACTGGTATGTGCTTTTAGCCACCTCTTTATTTTACAAATAAGAAAAAAATACTTGGGGAAGTTAGATGATTTACACAAAAGTTAATAGCCAATAGATTGACTTTGGGGCTGTGGAGTGGGGAGGTAAGGAATATGGAAAACACATATTTTTTGAACCATTAACATTTCTGTAAATGAACAAAAGCACCTCTATTTTGATTCCCCCAAAAAAGGGATGAATTAATAACTCACCATTCAGCCTAGAGCATACAAATCATAAAATATTATTCAGATTTTAATCTTTTTATTACCTCATACTATCTTCCAGGGCCAGAGAGGTAAACCATTATTACTAAAATACTCATATATTTTGGAAAGGCAGCTTGGAGGACCACATAACCAGGGACACTGACTCAATCCTGGTAGGCTACCAAGGACACGAGCGGGGGCGGGGAACCCACTGTCTGCAGTGGCCTGGTATGGGACCAGCAGACTCAGCTGAGGCTGCGCCCTCGGCTGGGTCCTGTGGCCTCAGCTGGGACCACTGGCCACCTCGGCTGGGTCCTACGCCCTTAGCTGGGAGCAGTGCCCTCGGGTTAAAGTCCCAGGCGGCTCCACGGTGCAGAGCCCAGACAGAGGCTAAATTGGCAGCAGCCACTCACCTTGGGCTCCAGGAGAGGGAGTGCAGACTGGACTGGAACTGTGTGGGGACACTCGGGATTTGGAGGGTGCTCAGAGCTTTTACTGAGTGCAGCCACGCAGGCCTGTGGTCGTCTTACTCCTTCCCAGGGCCCTGGGGAGTGGTGGCGGCCCCTCCCTGGGAGATTCAACCCCACCCGGTGGCCATTGAAATGCGAATTGAGGCCCATTAACAACCAGCATCTGCCCAACCCTCGGGAAATTTTCTTACACTGAGCACCTGAGGGAGTTTTCCAGTCCACTCAGAAACCAAATGTTCTTCAGGTGACTGCTACTAATAGCCTCCAGGCAAAAAAGCTAGAGGATAACTACCACTCCCTGGGCTAGCAACTTTAACCAGGAAAGTTAAGACTTGACAGTGGTGTTTAAAGTGGGCCCTCCCTGCCTCATCCAAACCCAGGAGAGGGAGCCACAAACAGCAGAACACCAACATCCACAGGGAAAATTTGGCAGACTTCAAAGCCCACTGTGGTAGCCAAAATGGTGAAAAACAGAAACAAAAGCCAAATGAAAGAACAAGAGACCTCTACCAAAGATGAGATAAATGAGGTGCAGTTAAGCAAGTTAACAGAACTAGAATTCAGAGCCATGATCTTGAGGAAGCTAAACAGCATATGTGAGGACATGAGCACCATGAGTAAAGACATAGAAAAGTTGAAAATCAACCAGTTGGAAATTAAAAACCACCAAGAAGAAATGAAGAATGACATATCAGAAATAAAAAACACATTGGAAAGTCTAAATAGCAGAGTAGAGGAAGC